TGAGGAACCCGGCTTGGGGCAGCAGAGAGAGTATATCCGGCCCTCCTGACCATTTCCCGTCCACAGATTCAGATTTGATGATGTCGCATGATGGATACAAAGTAACAATGTTTCTTGGTGATCTGTGTGAATCGATCAGATTTCGGAGGTGAGGATCCCCCGTTCAGGTGATTAGGGGCCCATAGCGGTCCGCGTCGTTGTTCCAGCCCCCGGGGGCGCTGCGGCTGCTGCGGGGATTTCCGGCTTTCTCTTCGTTTCCTCGATCTGTATTTTTCTTTTCTTTTAGACTTTCAATTTCAGCAAGAAAATCCGTTCTTAATCACCCGGCCTGGGGTCACGCCCGCCCAATATTATTACTGTAAGGACTTCCTGCCGGAGAGGAGGAGGGAGAACAGTCAGCAACTCTCCCCCAGTGTTTCCCCAACCATTCCACAGGAATTATTATTAAAGCTGAACTCCGGGATCGGCAGATATCGTCCTCGTACCAGAGTCCCGTGTGTTCTCCCCTGAGTCCCCGTGATCTTCGTGCATTTCTTCCAGATCGGTGCAGACTCGGAGCTTCCTGTAATAAAGACCGGTCACTGCTACTCTCTCTCCTTGTGGGGGGTGACTGGTCTTGTCTCCGCCCCCTCCTGTAATAAAGACCGGCTCACTGCTGCTCTATCTCCTTGTGCAGGGTGACTGGTCTTGTCTCCGCCCCCTGCTGTAATAACGACCGGTCACTGCTGCTCTCTCTCTCCCTGTGCAGGGAGACTGGTCTTGTCTCCGCCCCCTCCTGTAATAACGACCGCTCACTGATGCTTTCTCCTTGTGCATGGCGACTGGTCTTTCTCCGCCCCCTCCTGTAATAAAGACCAATCACTGCTACTCTCTCTCCTTGTGCAGGGCGACTAGTCTTAGTCTCCGCCCCCTCCTGTAATAAAGACCGCTCACTGCTGCTCTATCTCCTTGTGCAGGGTGACTGGTCTTGTCTCCGCCCCCTCCTGTAATAAAGACCGCTCGCTATACTTGTGCAGGGTGACTGGTTCGGTAGGAGGGGCTGTCAGACTCCTGCACACCTCGCAGCACCCCTTTTTGAGCATTATAAAGAATAATGGATCCCTGGCATCCCTTTAGACGTTGGCCGCTGCGTGCTGCAGACTTTAGCTGCGCAATCTGCTGATCGGTTGTTCGATTGCACTCTGTCAAGAGTATAGTCAAGCAACTGATCAGCAGATTGCACAGCTAAAGTCCGCAGCACCTGCTGGCCAGCAGAGATACATGTTTAAATGGATGCTGGAGACGCGTTCCTTCATTCAATGCAGCACAGTGACCGGCACCAACCCTAAAGATCACGCCCACAGATAAATGACTGAGGGCAGAGGAAGCTGATAGCGGGGAGAGGTGACCCGGTGACAACAGTACGGATCCGGAGTCTGAGCTGGGACTGGCATAAAACCTCCGCCATTCTATAACCCTCCAGGACGGGGAATGGTGAACGGTCGGATCCCATTCCATCAGATGGTCTGTGCACATGGGCCTCCGTGGTCTGAACACGGCCAGCTGTGTCCCTCTGCCATGCCGCGGGGGTCGGAGGAGGAGGATTCCCGCGCTGCGCGAGGAATGCGGACAGGTGGCTGAATCAGACTGCGGCCAGGCGGAAAATCCCGCCATTGTTCTACAGTCCCCCCCCAGGGGGGGGGGGGGGCTTAAAGGGGCAGCGCACCCACGGAAACCCAATATCCCGCCGACGGGGGCCAATTAACCCCACCGACGCTGGAAACGCAGAGCCACGGGACAACGTGATGGGTACATCGGGACAGGAAATACAATGTGTCACGGAGAGGAAGCAACCAATGAAATGTATCAACAGCAATACCCAATGAGAGGTCTGTGTGCCGAATACGTTTATAGAGATGAATGCTGCGCGATTCCTGTGTACAGAGACTCCAGTCCCAGTTGAGGTTTTGGGGGGATGAGGGCTCCTGAAGTACGGCACCATCTTTAATCAGTCATCATCCGGGGTCACCATCTACTTCCTGGACTGAGATGACGGCTCAGAGATGACACAATCACGGAAATCCTCTGCAGTTGTTGTTGGCGGTGATAACAAATGTCTGACACAGTTCAGCCCCCCTGCTGCAGCCTTTCACCTTGTGACTTAGTACAAAGATACAATGTTGCTGTCTGATCACTGGGGGAGGTGAGACTGAGGAAATGCTTCCTCCTGCCTGCAGCAGACTGATCACTGGGGGAATGGAGACTGAGGAAATGCTTCCTCCTGCCTGCAGCAGACTGATCACTGGGGGAGGGGAG